ACATTTAATTCCTAATTATAGTATCTTATGTCAATAAATATTTTTTAAGACATAGGCTAATTTTTTAGAGACCTGTTCATGAATGCCGTATCACTCGGAAGCTAAGCGTAATTTAATTCATACATTTAAGCCTTTTATTTATCTAAAACAAATAGGCTGCTATTAGATATTGACTATTTTATTAACTCAGAGCATCTGGGAAAACACTTATGATTAGGTTAATTTATGTTATATTTTCCCCTCAACTTGTAAAAGATTAATCAACCATTTTATGGTCTAATTTAGATGCCTAATTAAAACCAGAGTTCAACACATGCTACACTGTCTTGCTAATAAATCTTGACAGCTTTGTAACATGATGGTTTGTATTTCAAATTGTTGCATATAAATGTAGATTTTTTGATCTTCACCCAGCAGCTTGAAGTGAGTTGCATATTTGGTTTAAACTCCAGGACTGAGAAAGTGCAAATTACTTCAAAAAGGATTATCTCCAATCAGATCGGATCTTAAATTTCCCTCGGTGAAGACAGAAGCAGTCCTTGCCACCAGGTTTTCACAGAACCAGTCGAGGAAAATAGGGGAGAAATTAGTTTTCTCAGCATTTGTTAAATTGAAAATGCAGGAAAAGTTGCTACTTTCAGCTAATGGCTTTCAAGAGAGAGATTTCTGAAGTGACTGGGTTTTAGAATCTACTTCTAAAGAAATCTGCTCAAAGTGTTAGTTGTAGCTGTCTTCTGGTTAATGAGTACAAGTTTTCAGTGTGGATTTGGGCACTGTATTTTTTTTTTTTTAATGAATAAATTCATTCCAAGAAGTTCTGTAACATCTTCTTTAATCCTATGTCCTCCCAAACACCTCCCAGCCTTAAAAAAGGCAAATGGAAAAGAATTAATCTGCTCTCACTAGGGACACTCCCTATGTTTTCTCCGCCTGCATATTTGAGTGATATTTTAGTCATTTTAATGACTCCATGGACTCTGACCGTCCTATGCAGCAGAGAAACGCAAACTCTTTCAAAGCAAACCCAGTGTTGAACTCATCATATGTGACCAACATCATGCTTGGGTCACTTTAAGCGCACAGCACAGGGTGACCTCTGGATCAGGACTGCTTGGGTGGCTGCATCAGCCTTTGCCACTTTCTGGCTGTGAGACCTTGGGCCGGTTGCTTAACCTCTCTGTGCCTGTGTTTCTTCGCCTGTAAAAGTACCTACTTCACAGGATTGTAATGAGGATTAAATTTGCTAATCCTGTAAAACTTGAAACAGTGCCTGGCACACAGGGAAAACATTCAGTAAGTGTTAGCTATCAACATTATTAAACCACCCACACACTATACTTTTTTTTTTAATGTGGCCACAGCATTGAAGTGTCAGCTTATTTTGTACAACCAAAAATGGAAAGAAGAGCCAAGGTGGGGGAAGGAGTTCTGCCACTGTCCTGTCTAAGGCGTATTTCTCTATACAAAAAACCAAGAATCACACAGTATTTGCCTAACTTAATCCCCAAACTGGGGTCATTAAAATTCATGAAACTCTACCACACTTGAGCCAAATCAAGAAGAGAAACTGAGTAAAGAAAGTACATATTTCTTTTTAAATTCAAAGGTTAGACCCATAGTCAGAGCCTAAATGTAGGGGGTGGGTGCTTTCTCCAGGCTTGGCATATGTGAGGGTCTCCTGAACCACTGCCCCCCTATTTCTCAAACACCTTCACAACCATGACACAGAAGGTAAAGGCTAGATTCACCAAAAGTCCTGATGAGCCACTCCGTAGGGTCCTTTAAACACCTGTTAAGTTTGGGAGGCCTGATCAGAGAGAGAAAAAGCGAGCTGGATAATGAACTGGGGAAAACAAAAAAACAAACCACAAGAGTCTTAATCCCAGACTAAAACAAACTCGGGTCCCGGACAGATGAAGCACACCTACTAGCACTTTCGATTTTTGTAGCAAGTAAGGCAGCCGAAAAGTGCCTGATTTCCGACGGGTGGCAAGGTCAGCTCCGTGTCGCCACCCTGGGAGGCTCCGATCCCACCACGATCCCTCCCTTTCGGGCCGATCGTGTCTCACGACGCAAAGTGGAAAAGAGCTGCGATCCAATTCTAAGACTTCATGCAAATGTGCCCAGGCCCTGGGTTTACTGGTAAGGCCACTAGGAAGACTGTGTATCAGCGGATTAAACCCATTAACGACTTGCACAGACTCAGCCAAGCCCTCGTTCTCCTGCAGATTGCCAGCCTGCCTGTCGGATTCAACCACCCGTGCCCGTAGTTTCTTAATGGCTCCAGAATGTCTCCCCCCTCTCCTCTGTTCTGGTTCCGAGGACTTGTTTTAACCACGTTTCCGAACTGCAACGCTCTCCGGTTAATAATTATTTATACTCGGCTCCAGTCTGCGGCCTGACCGTGCGGACGCAGCGGGAGCTACAAAGGAACACGCACCTCCCCGCGAGCAGCTAGGCTCGGGCTGAGCCCAGAGAGCTCCAGCCAGGGCGAGCGATGCTCTCCGGTCACCGGATTTTAGGAAAAGCGTTCTGGGACATGCGTCTCCTCCCGGTGGGGTCTGTTTAAAGTTAAAGCGGCTGCCTTCAAAATAATTGAGTCCACACGTTGGTCCAGACATCCAGAATATTCTAAATCAATTAAAAAATTAAGCAAGCAGATGGCATTTTTGGAAGACCTTTTTTTTTTTTTTCCCTTGCTGAAAAACATGCACCAAGCCTGCGGTCCCGCCGGGCGCCGCTAAGTACAGCCCCGGATCGCGGCGCGTGGGGCGAGCTGCGGGGTCTCTAGTTTGCCCCTCCCGCCACCCCGCTCACTGGCGGGGTGAGCGCCGCCGGCCCTGGGGCTCCTGGCCCCGTCGGTCCGGCCCCTCCGTTTAGGGGGACCGCTAGGGAAGACGACGAACCTCCCGCCTCCCCGCAGTGCAGGGGCCCGGCGCAGCCGCTCGCAACGCGGCCCGCGGGCGCCCGGTCCCGCCCGAGGCTCCCCGGCTGCGCTCCCCGCGGCAGGCGCGCGGCGAGGCTTTCAGTGCGGCTTCGTCCTTTATTCAGCAGTTTTGAGTCAATCGAAAGGAACGTGGCAGGTGGAGCGCGGCCGCCTAAGAGCCTTCGTGAATCTTCCTGTGGGGATTTCCACAGCCTGCCCCAGGTGCTTCTACGACCGCCTGACTTGACGGATTCAGCGCTTTTCCTGCCAGTTCCTCCCAACCCAGCCCCTAGTTTGATCTGCGAAAATCCCGAGCTGCCTCCGGCCCCTGGTGGGTTCCCCCTGGAAGGGCGCTCGTTATAGCCCGGGCCCCCAGGAGGAGGAGGAGGAGTAACAACAATGCACTCGGTGGCCCCCTGGTAACAATCGGAGAGGCCCCCACGTGCCCCCACGTGCCAGCCGGGCACCCGAGCGCACCGGCGTACTCCTCCGCGCCCGGTGGGAACCACAGGATCCCCACTGCACCGATGGGAGCACTGAGGCTCGGCGCCACCAGCGAGCCGCCAGAGCCGGGACGCGAATCCAGACGTCGGGACTCCGGAGCCCCCATTCTTAACAGCCGGTGTCCACGGCCCGCGAACGTTGGGAAGCGTGACTGTCACGGCTGGCTAAACCTCGAGACTTGGGCAACTCCTGACAATAAGAAAAACATTAAGGACAAAAGGGAGGGAGAGAGCGAGGCTGGGAAGAGAGTGATTTTTAATCCGCTGGCTCAGCCCCCCTTTTCTCTCTCCCGGGGCCGAGAAGGGGGGATGGGAGCAGGGAACGGGGTTCGGTTCGACTTTCCCCTTTTGTTTTCCGAAGTCCCGAGAATCTCGGGCCTGGAAGGTGCCTGCCGGGGACTTGATGGAGTCATACTTGTGAGGGTTGGGGGTTGATGACCAGAGAGAACGGGTGGGGGCCGGTGGCTGGGGCCCCTGGGTGCCGACGAAGTTTCCGAAGGCCGGAATCTGGACCCCCTGCCCACCCGCGCCTCACCGGAAGCTCGGTCAACCCAGAAGCTCACCCCAAAGACCGGTAGCTTTGGAAAGCGTTGGGCAGGGGTCGTGATTATGACCCTGAGGGCCGCTGCCCTTTTGGAGCCCGACCCACAGCCCGACCCGAAAACCGAGTTTCCGGAAGCCCCGATCTCGGGGCAACGCACATTTGTCAATCACTGAACCCCTTACATTCCTGGCGCCCCGACATGTACAGGGCCGGCGGAGACCGGGTCCCTGCCCGCGCTCTCCCGGCACCCGGGCCCAGGAGGCGGAAACCAGCGAGCTGAGCCTGAGGCGCCCGGGAGCCTTCAAAGCCGCGCGCCGCTCCCGCCGGCTGCAGTGCGCGCCTTTGCCCGATAGGGACCAGCACCGCTCCACGCTCCGCGCCGCCCGCCCGTCGGCCCGTCGGCCCGTCCGCCAGGCGGAGGCGCCGGGCCACCCGCCCAGCTCACCCTCCCGAGCCCAAGCTGCCCGCCCGCCAAGCGGGTCTGACCCTCTTTGGGTTCCAGCACGGAGTAGGACTGTTGGAAAAAAGTTTACAGACGCCGTCTCTCCCACCCCCATCCCCATCTGGGGAGCAGAAGCTGCTCCAGAAGTTGGTCTAGGGCGGAGACCGTGACCGGCTGGGCGCAGAACGTCCCGGGCTCCGAAAGGAAAAACTAAACTACGAGCAACACTGGATCGATTCGTTTGCGAAACGGCCACAGTTAGAGAGCTGCGCGCTTCCCTGGGCGTCACCCCAATCGCTCATCCCCTTCTTTAATTCTAGGGGCACCGCGGGCCACGGAGCCTCCAGAGCTCCTCGAGAAGTTTCTACGCGTTGTGGAGAGAGCGGAGCCCCGCGCAACCCGTACCACGCTGGGGCGGGATTCTGGGCGCCGCGGGTTATTCCTCTGTCTGCCCCTCCCCGCCCCCGGTGGTCGGGGGCTGTACCCCTGTCACTTCCCCAGCACATGCCACGTCTCCCTCTTCTGCCGCTCTTGATCGCGGCTGCCGCCCCGGCCCTTGGCCCTGGCCCTGGTAGGGAAACTCACCGGTACCAGGCGAAGCCCTTGTCGTAGCTGCGGTCGAAGAAGTGGGGCTCGGCGCCCACGGCGCGCACGTCGGGGTGCACGCGCAGGAACTCCAGCAGAGCCCGCGTGCCGCCCTTCTTCACGCCGATGATGATGGCCTGCGGCAGCTGCTTGCTCCCGGACCCACTGAAGAAGCTGGAGATGGAGCTGGGGGAGTCCGGCGTCTCGGGACTCTGTTCCTCCTGGCTCGCGGCGCCCTCGGCCGGCTCCTTGCCCGCAGCCAGCGGGGTGGCCGGCGCCGCCTGGAACGGCAGCCTGGGGGCAGTCCCATCGGGACCCGGAGCCAGGGCTGGCGGGGCGTGGGCGGCGCGGGACCCCGAGCCCAGCAGCAGCAGCCCCGGCGCGGCGGCGCACGAGCCGGCGCACGAATACAGGAACATGTAGAGCCAGATGCAGAGCATGGCGAAGAGCAGCGCGAGCTTCCTCCTCACCGGTGGCGGGGACGGCGGCGGCTGCGGCAGGAGCCGGCCGGGGACATCGAGGCAGGATCGGCCGCCGCTCAGGCGCTGCCCCATGCGCAGCCCGGGGGCGCGGCGAGGGACATGGCTCAGCACATGGCGCGGGGCCCGCCGGAGCTGTGAGCGCGGAGAGGGTTCCCTGGCCCGCGGGACGCCCGGGTCGTTCGGCTTATTGCCCCCGCGCGCCCGCAGCCGCCGCCGCCGCCGCCGCCGCTGCTGCTCTTCCCCAGGTGGCGGCGGCAGCTGTAGTGGTGGCGGCTTTTGACATGTTGCCCGGGAGGAGCCTCAACTGGAACGAAAGTCGGGGTGGCGGCAACTGCTGGCCCAGGAGCTGCTCCTGCTCGGGCAAGAGAACAACGCACTCCCGCTCCCTGCGCACTCCAGACGGTGCGCACGGCCGCTCGCCGGGGCTGCCTTCTCGCGGTCCTGCCAACTGAGCCCAGGGAGCTGCCCCGGCACTTCCCCGCGGAGGCTGCGAAGAACTGCGCAGGAAGAGAGCCCGAGACCGAGGTGGGGTGGGCGGGCCCAGCCTTCCGGAGTGACGGGTCGCTCCACCTACCAGAAACCCGGAGCGCCCTGCGACTACAGGCGCTTCGCCGAGCGTTCAGCAGCCAACCGGCTCCCGGAACGTGGGGGTGTGGAAAGGGTTTGGGGTGGTGGAGAGAGGTCGGAGGTTGCTATTGGCTGCGGGATACGGGGCGGACCCGGGGGGGCGGAGCCAGGGGCTGGTGACAGGAGCAGATGGTCGGAAGGATGCTGGATTGACGGAGCGTTGGGAGAGGCCCGACCCCGCCAAGTGGTGCTGGGGTGCGCTCCCGCTGCCGCGCGCATCTCCGCACTCGCTCCCCAGGAGCCAGCCTTGGCGTGTAGTTGCCCTTGTGTCGGGACTCGAGTCCAGATCCAGATGTTTCGCTGGCGGGCTCGTGGTGTGTGTGTGTGTGTGTGTGTGTTGTGCAGTAGGAAGGAAGGGGGTTGGAGGAGTGCGAGTCAGGCCAGAGATGTCTGCAGCCCCCAGACCCGACCATCCCACGCCGGGGACTCGGAAGCGGGGTGGAGTGGGGGGGCTTCCGGGACAGGCACCGGTCTAGGAAGTTTAAGTGGAAAGTTTGTAAATGGCTGTCAACTTTTTTTTTTTTAAGATTTTATTTATTTATTTGAGAGAGAGAGTGAGAGAGAGAAAGAGCACAAGAGGGGGAAGCGGGTGAGGGAGAAGCAGACTCCCTGCCGAGCAGGGAGCCCGATGCGGGACTCGATCCCGGGACTCCAGGATCATGACCTGAGCCGAAAGCAGTCAGTCACTTAACCAACTGAGCCACCCAGGCGCCCCGGCTGTCAACTTTTTAAAAAAAGTTTTCCCTTCTTATTCTTTGCCAGGCGTTGATCTCTTTCGGGCCGTGGGTTAACTGAGATTGGTGTAAACTGTCTTCGGGGAAAAATCTTCCCTACCTTCCCAAACCGCCGGGAGTGGTCGGGGGAGCGAAGGAAGAAATGAACTGTGAGAGACAGTCTGGTAGGAAGTTTCCCGTGGTCGAAAAGGGAGTGTGAAAGTCACGTGTAGAAAGTTTTGTCCGGATATGAGTTTGTTGGGGATGTCAGGTTTAAGACAATGTTCTCTCTTCCCCTTTCCCTGAATCCATATTAAAGCCAACATTCCATTCGCCTTCATTGAGGAGACAGTTCGGTTTGCTGACCTGTTACACTATCAGGTGGTGTTTCTTTCCCACCGAGGTTTTTCTTTTTAAGTCAAAGTCAACTTGGAGCAAATCGATCACTGAGTTGCACTTATTTAAGACAAAATCCAGTGTTAGTTGCTCTCCCCAGTTTCCTGCAAAGGGACCCTCGGGGCGGGGGAGCCAAGCTTCGGTGGAGCTGTAATCCTTCGCGGCGGAACCCCTCGCCCGGTGCCTCACGCCGCCGCACTCTTGCCCCGGCGTTCGCACGTTTGCAGTTGGGCAGCTCGGGATGCTCACGTTCATCCCGGTAGTGTCCAGAAAGTTTTCCGCGCCTGCAACCCCGCTCCGGCGGGGCCAGCCGGCCTCCAACGCTCGGCTTCGCGCCTTTCCGGGACAGAACGTTCCTTCCGATTCCGACCCCAGCGGGGCCCCCGGGGTTGAGTGTCGCCCCCTGGGGTGACTCGCCGAGAGCTGCCGCCCACGCCGCAGTTCACTGCCTGCGCGGCGGAACCGACCTGAGCCCTCGTCCGAGACTAGCCTTCGCTCCCTCAGTAAATGCCTCCAAGTGTCCCGAGTCCCCGCAGCCCTACCCCGGGGCGGGTTCCCCTCTGTCCGGAGCACACTGAAAAAGCCAGCCTCCGGTTCGAAAACGTACCGGAGAGACCGCGATGACCCGAGAGGGTTCAGATAACCCCGAGGCCACCGTGGGACCGACGCGTCCCGGCTGTGCCCCACGCCCCCTCTTTGCAACTACCTTGCGCCCAAGACAGTTTCCTACAAAACTGCTGAGGGGGAAATAATCTCGGTAGAGGATTCTCCTGCTTTTCTGTTCGCAGGGGGGATTTCTTCCCAGCTTTTCTTTACCCCTGTCCCTGGGATGTTGTATTTGTTCTGCAGAAGTGACTTATTCGCCCTTAATTTTAAATTTCATTAGCTAATTGTTAACTTATTTAAACTTAGAAAACACGAGAATGCGTTTCTGAGCATTGGCCCGACCCTTTATTTTAGAAATGGAGGAAGGAAATGGTGTCTCCAAAGGGTGTGTCTTTAATAAATTATTATTATTGAGGGGGCTATGGATTTGCTGACTTTTGAAGATTTGGGGGGAGAAGGTGGTAGTGGTTTATGATTCGTGTGTTCGGGCGAATTGTAGCTCCCTGTGTGGCAAACTTCAGGCCTGGATGGGTGTGAATCTTACAGTTTTGTGTGTGGGTTTTTTTTTTTTTCTTTTCTTTTTTAAAGGATTTTGATACTCCTAATAAAAACGGTCTCTGTCCTGAGGGCTAGAGAAGCCCAGTGCAAAAGGAAAGTCGAGGATTACAAATCCAAGCCGCCGGATATATTTAGGGCTCTTTTTCCGGTGGTGAAAGGAGAGGGAGTGGGCATCGGAAATTGCCCGGAGTGTTCCGCAGAGCTGAGCACCCCAGAGCCAAGTGGCCGCCCGCGTCCACCCGGCGCGCGTTCAGTCCCCACCAGAACAATGGGGGAGTTTTCGGCGCTCCCAGCCACGCGAGGTCGGTGGGTCTTCTGCGGCCTGAGCAGCGCCTGGGCTGTGACCCGACGTCTTGGCCCTTCCGTCCACTTGGCTGGTCGGTCCACTGGGCTCGGAATGCGCCCCGAAACCCCCATGCCTGCCTACCGCTACAGGCTCTGCCCTGGGCCAACGCCGGCTCTCCCACGCTCCCATTCTGCAGATGCGGAACCCGAGTCTCACCCCTGCTCAGAGCTAGTGGCGAAGCTGACCGTGAACCCAGTTTCAGCTCCTGTCCTTAAACATTGCTTAGCAGTGCTGGGCGGGGGGGAGGGAGGGGGCGCCCACGCACGAGCCAGGCCAGCAGCAAATCGCCGCCACCCACAACTGGAGAAAGGATTGCCTTTGGTCAAATTATTCAAAATGTTTGCATTCGGAAAACCTGGAAAGGAGCGAGTTCAATTTGAGCACCCTGGCATGGTTCATGTTTTATTTTGGTTGGTTTGTTTGGGATTACCTAATGGGGGGCTCACCTGGGGCCTCCGAGGGTTTTAACCTGGCCCCAAAAGGACAAGGCCGCCTCAGGGGGTCAGCCCCTTGTCCTTTTTCCCCCGGGCCCTGCTGCCAACGGCCAGCCAGGTGACCCAGACGTGTCATTTCCGGGCCCTAAAATTCCCCATCGGTAAAAGAGGGAGGACTTGAGCCAACAGATCGCCGCGGTGCTTTCCGCCTGAAGTTTCTCTGCTTCTGGCCTCGGGAAGGGAGGCGCCCGCAGCTGCTCCCTGCGGGGCCGGCACCGGAACCCGGACCTTCCTCCCCTCCCCGGCCTCCCCGTGCCCCCCGATCCTCCCCTCCCCCCCCCCCGCACCGCAGCAAGGCGGCCTCCCGGGGCTTCGCAGCTGCAAGCTCCTTTCCTCCTCCTCCAGCGGCGGCCGCGCCTCCAATGCCCGCCCGCCAGGGGGCGCTCTGACAGCCGCCGCGTGGCGGGAGGCGGAGATCGGCGGCCGCCGCGGCCCGCGGGTCACCCGGGCCCTCGGGAAAGGAGACTTTCCCCTCCTTTTGGGCTTCCGCGGCGCCTCCTGGCGCGCCCAGGAGCTTCCGTGGCCTCCCAAGTCTCCGGGTGTCTAGGAGGCCGCGGCACCCCCATCTCCTCCGCGGGTGGACGGCGCGGCTCTGCCCGCGGGGAGCTACCTGCCAGAGGCGGCACCTGCCCAGCCCTGCGACAGCCGCTCGGCCAGGCGGAGGCGGGGTTCGAAATTCCCGGTAAGAGAGGCTGGAGGGCTTCGCCGGAGGAAGGAAGCGCTTCCCAGCGCGGCGCTCCCACTGCGCCTAGGGGAGCGCGAACTGGCCCAGCCTCGGTGGGAGCCAGCGGCCGCCGCTGGGGTGATTGCCATGCGGCGGGTCATCGCAGTAAAGCGCCCGCGTGCAGGAAGAGCCATCTGCAAATCACAGACGATGATGGCTCTTATCTTACAGCTAAAAGAAGTTGGACCCCCAGACTGGTTCGGTGACCTGTGTCCTGAGGAGTCGAGGTTGTGTGCTGATTCTGCAACGCACCTTGCTCCGAGCCTGGAGGTTCCCTTGTCCTCTGGGGGGACACTGGGGCAGGGATGGTGGGGAAACTGAGGCAGAGGTACTCGTGCCCCGGCTCCCTCTTGGCGGGGCCATCAGAGCCTGGCTGCTTCCCTCTCGGGAAGTCACGGGGAAGCCCTCTCCCCACAGCCATGCTGTCACCAGGTCCTAGCACGGCTGTCCCCATCGCCTACTAGGGGGCCCAGGCACAGTGCTGTCCCGGTGTATTCTCGCCTCCTCCAGCATCTTTGTATGTAGTCCTTTTATTACAGGCCCCTCAAATTACCCAGTCGGGAGTGTGTCCTGTCTTTCCTGCCAGGCGCCCGGATACCATACACCAG